ATATATAAGGTGCATCCGATGCAGGTCTCTTCGATGACCGAGAATACCGTTTCTTCAAGGACTCCCCCAGCATCCTCCCAAAACCCTTTTTCGTCTTTCTGAATGACATTTTGGACTACATTACTACATGTTCACCGTACCAATGCCCACATCCGTACGAAGAGACTGGAGTCGACATGACTCGACTCGTGCGACTTTCTCTTCGTCCAGATCGCAGATCACTTTAGTTCCCAGATTTTGGGATCTTGATCATGGAGCATCATAAGCAGAGTGTGCTTAGTCAACACGTGCACAAAAGAAGACCTGTTGTGGTGTCTTCCTTAAAGTCAGGGCATCAGGGCAGATCTAAAATGGTTAGGAATAGTCGGAATATACTAGATGCATTGCACTTCATTGTTAGATGTAAGTACTGAGTCTTCTCTTCACCTGCTGCAGGCGCCCTTCCTGGCGCCCGGAGCGTGGCAGCCTTTGGCGCTCGCGGAGCAGGGCCTAAAACACCTAAAACGTGGAGGCCGGACATAGAAAGAGGGGGAAGGCGGGAGAACACCTAGATGGGTGAACATAGGAAGAATAGAGAGAATTACCCACCCAACAGTCCTCCCAACCTCTTGCTTTTATGCGCTTTCGCAGTTTGGTTCCAGCATGTTTATTTGATTGTGGAACTCTTTGAACTGAACAACAGAAATGCATGAACGGACTTCGATCCGTAAATCACCATGAAGCCTTCACGTTGAGGGACCGATGAAAGTACTACATCGTACTGTATATTTATATATATATATATATTTATAGTTATCTAATACATAGATTTAGATGATAAATGTCCAGCGTGTCCAGCCACTATTTTGCTATCAGGTGAGGGTGAGTGCAGTTTTAGAATCATTCGTGCATAATTTTTAAATACTGTATCGTTCATGAGCTGACAATCTGTTTGATTTTGATCAGATGTATCTCATGTATCAGCTTCTTAGACACCATCCTTACTTGCATTCGTTGTATTTTGTTGTTCTCGTCTCCTTGACCTTTTTTGGTTGGACGCAGGGCTAAATCTCATCAAGGGTCGGTGTCTCGAGGTGTTCCGAGCGAAAGGCGCAACAGCCCGAACACGGAATCGTAGTCAAGCGAGTCCATGGACAAAGTATTCCATCAGATGCTTGCTCCGTTCGTAGCGATGCCAGGAGCCCCGAACGTAGCGCTCTTGTTACTAGTAGCGATGCCCGGGTTCCTAGTAGCTTCTTGCTCCTAGTAGTACGGCCAGGAGCTACTAGTAGCTTCTTGCTCCTAGTGCAATGAGGCCGTTGTTCGGGGCTGGACTGGACTCAGTGACTCTTACATATCGACCGACGATGACCGACGGCTCAACAAAACAATAAGTGGATCCTCGATGACCGACGATGCTTTTCAGAGGACAGTTTGGAGCAGTGCCGGTCCGACATCCTCACGTAGAAGCTGAGAACCTGAGAACCATCATACTTCCCTCCAGTACAAAGAGTTGAACAATATAGATCGTTTGCATTGGATACTTGCATTCATCATACTTCCATAGATCGACATGATGCATTCATTCGCCTTCACCCTTCGCGTGGGACCTCTTCGACTCTGCCAGTCACCCTTAGACCGACCATTCCTTCGCCGCGTTTCTCACCGTCTCCGGAGCAGGTCTTCGGCCGGTGCTGCGCTCCGCGGACGCGGGAGTGACAATGGTTCACGTTCTTCGCCCCATTGTGCCCAAAAAGATCCAAAAAGCGACGAAGCACTATGGATACTATGATATACTATGGCTTATATAGAGGAATTTGATGGAACCTGTTCATTTTCGGTGGTCCACCAGGGTCCCGGGTTTTGGGGAAGACAGAGCTGCAGCTCCGGGACCCCGGTCACGATGTGTCACGGAGCTGGCACGGCTGACTCCGGCGGAAAACAGCTGAAGTATTGGCCTGCAGCTTTCAATACAGGATCCACGGCAACAAGCACAAGAGAGCTTGCTGCTTGCTCAATTGCAACATGTTTAGTGCGGTTTATCATTATCATTAGTTATGCAACATGTACGTACAGAAGATCTTAGACAATTGATTGGGCTCTCCGGGGCAACCGGACAAAGCCCCAGGCCAAAAACGTCCCAGGAAAAACCACAGTCATAGCCAGGCACCAAAGTTCCATGTATCTCAACCAGCACATCTCCTGAAAGAGCACAAGGACAAATACCTTTGACTTTTGAGCATCGACATGCCGCACCCCATACCTACGACTCAAACAGCGTGAAACCGCCCGGTTTGGCCATTCGCCGCAATCCGATGGCCGAGAACAGTTCGACATGCTGGGCCCTGAGCTGTTCCGCGTGTATTGAGATCAGTCCTCATGAGGAATTTCAAGAGTTTGGCGAGCCCAGCATGACCATGCTATTTTGCAACTACAATATTGGTACCTTTTGTTGGGTATGATTGGACATGATTGGCTTGGACTCGGACAATTGATCCTGGACTTTGTGTGTGGCACAAGCCAACATGCATATATTGACAATAGCTTGACACTATACGTGTATATGCATTACATACACGTGTTATATAAGAATGATAGTTCGATGCGCTCAAGCAGCTGTAGTTTATTCTCTTCATATTTGGGTAGTTGACCCCGAGTGATTGCTGGCATACCAGGTGCACCGTCCACAGCCGAAGAGCTTCATCGAAAGCACCCACTGCTGAAAGAGATTCTGCCGCCCATGCTACAAGAGACTTGGTCCCCAAAAATTGGATGGAAGAGACAACTGGTCAACCTCGAGATTGAGCATGATCGAACATCCAGAACCAAAAAGACACATTATATGGACGTTGTGTAGGGGAGGTCTTTGGGGGGTTCTATTGCCACGGAAAATGGCTTGCGGGTGATTTTTGAGGGCCCCTGCTGGCCCCGGCCTAAATGAGATGATGGAGAATCTAGATGCCAAGCTTGTCACTATGTTGTTTCCTGAAGAAGCTTTCCTTCATCTTATGTCGTTGGCCCCGTTTTCAGGATCCCAACAGCACAAGACAAAGGCCATCGATACCGTGTTTCGACGGGTGTTCGAACATGTTCGAGGACCTCTTTGACGACCAAGAGCTTTGCGATCCCAAGCTTCCCTTTCCCAGCGATGCGATCTTTGTGAACTTCTTGGTGGGGTACCTCAGAGAAGTTGCTCCAAGAGGAATCGGCATCTGCCGACGTTTGGACTCAACAAGTCAACTGGTGACTTCAATTGTAGTCATGATAGTCATGCTGGAGTAGATGTATCGATAGACAAGGATACAAGGCAAAGCTAGATTCATATTCTATCTTATCTACTCCAGGATAGTTGTGTATATAGGTCATTCTCTACCACACAGTCCACAAATCACCACTTCAGGGACCCGGGCAGCGAACGCCTACCGGCAGGAAGTCTGCTTTTTTGGGTTGCCGCCATTTGTGGGTGGGCTTGCGGCCACAAATGCTCGATTGGGGGGGCAGTTCTGGCCATGGTGGGCACATGGTAACATTGTTTTATATTGTTTTGCACCCCCGCCCCGTGCTGCCATTTTCACCTTGTGCCCGTCAGGTACAGCTCAGATGGTCTAGGACCTAGGAGTCTAAAGCACGGGTTTGGAAGAATATTGGCAAATAACTTTTCTACAACCCCCCATTGGACTAAATCATGATCCAACCTTGCGGGGATCTTCCGAAGACACCTTTCTTGCTGAAATCGTGTCAGGCGGCCAAAGTCCTTTGCGCCAACAAGCTCCGGGAAACACTGCAGATCATCTCTCGCACTGCCCTGGAAGTGGCGGTTCCTTCACGGCCAATCCGGGATGTTTCGGATGTTTTTTTATGGGGGTTGGGGCCCGGGGCTGCCCTGGAACATGATGTTTGATGAGCGATTTCTGTTGAATTCAAGGATTTTGCATGTCTCAAGCTGATGGCTCCAAGACGTGACGTGGTTGAGGTGTTTGGAAAATCTTCACGGCTGTTTGCGAAGCTTGGAGGTCCAACCTTCGGTCTAGGTGGCATGTGTTGTGAAGAGAAAGTCATCTCAACCAGGTCCTCCAAGCACGCAACCTTCTTTCCCGCTTGCGGGCCGCCCTGCGGCATTCGGCTCCAGCAATGAGCCAGCTCGGGACTTGTAAATAGCAATAGACACACCAAATCCAATCGGCAGAGCAACGTGCCAGGCAATCAATCTGATTCCAGACTCCTCTAACCAAGAATAATCTAGCCACAACATTCTTCATGACTCATGACTTTATGCCACCTTGTTCCTTTCGGAGACATACAACACGCCTTTGAGATCTTTCAGGTAAGTGGAACAACTATGAGGCGCAGGGCCTCCGGCCTGTGGGCGCATCTAGTCCTATGGCCAGCCTTACTGGTGTCTACCACCCTGGTGCTGCCTGCTTCACACAGCGCCGCCCTGCGTGGCGCTTCCGGGCCGACCAAAGCGCCGAGAACGCCCGATGGCAGGGACGAGGGATGGAGCTGGACGGAGAACCTTTGGGCGCAGCTGGTTGGAACGCCCAATGGGCCCAGTGTGTTGCGGCTGGAGGACTGGGAGTGAAGCACGATGGAGTGGAGGCAGACTGAAGTGGACGGAGCAGAGAGAGAGAGAGAGAGAAAGCGCGGACGGTGTCAAGAGCTGATTTTGACCAACTATACTTGTATGACAAGTTGATGGAACTTCCACTGATCGAGAAGGGTTCCCTGCAGTGGCTGTCCCATGTTTGAAACGTCATGATGGCCTCACCCTTTGACTTGTGCATTTCTATATCGATATTTCTAGTGAACCCCCATGAAACCCAACTTCCCACTCAACCTCCCTCCGTCTCAGTGAGCACCCCCCAACCGCGCAGGACTACCAGAACTGCGTCGCAGAGGTTCAGGATCAGCTCCACCAGCTGAGGCTCAAATCGCGCCCCTTCACCCTGGACCAGGCACAAAACGCAGCTTCCCTCTATGGCGCAGGGCGGATGGAGTACCAGAGACACCAGGTGAAGCTTTCATGCTGTTTTTGGATATTTGTGAATGCAATGGGGGGGCCCAGACGAGCTTGCTGGCCATGGTCGCTCAAATGGCATCAAAGAGAGAAAACATGACCAGAACAACAGAACAACTTAGAACAACTGTATACAAAGTGGTGGCCAGCAATGACAACCTATTGAGTATCATGATGGTTTCCTGGCCCATGTCCGGGCCCCACGGAGTCCGACTCTCCACCACAAATACAACGTCCGTCCCTCGCCTAAGGAGAGCACGCATCGTTGGACATCCGGAAGCTTTGTGGAGTCATCTCGTTTGATGAGGACATGTCATCCGGCACGGCCTTGGTGAACGTCGGAGCCAAGACGGATTTCAAAAGCCTCACGCGCTTCCTTCTGAAGCGTGGATTCATCCCGCCAGTGGTGCCCGAGGTGGATACTGTGACAGTTGGAGGTGCCATTTCTGGTTTGGTCATGGAATCCAGTAGCTTCCGCTATGGCTTTCTGCACAACGCGGCCACTAGGCACTAGGCTGTCGAGCTGCTCGTTAAGTTCACGTTCTGGTAGTTAGTAGTAGTTAAGCCCAGTCATCCTGGAACAGATAGAACGTAATAGAACACTGGGACAGTCCAAAGTATATTCTCTTCTATGTTTATGATCGATCCATGGCATCATATGGCATCCATGGCGTGTTATTGTTTGGTATTTTTGTTGATTGTGTGATTGGTCTTAACCGTTGAGGTCACAGCCGAGCCTCTTGCGACAGAATAGGACCAACGCACCGAAAACCGAAGAACATGCCTTTCCTCCAACTGTAACAGTAATAGCGTCCTTGTTCCTAGTAGCTTCTTGCTTCTAGCAGTAAGGCCAGGAGCCCCTAGTAGCGTCCGATCGCTCCCAGTAGCGATGCCAGGAGCCCCGAACGTAGCGTATGTCTCCCCCCCGTTTGCAGAGCAACATTGTTTTGCGGTGGCCCCTGTCCCATGTTCATGTCGACACCGAAGCGCACTCCAGGTTGACACCGGGTCCAAACCGCCCTCGGCCGTCGATGAAAAATCTCTCCTTGGACCGCTCAGGTGAAGTCGATGGACGTTTTGCTCCCCAATGGCACGGTGGTCCCCTGCAGCCGCCAGCGGAATATGGAACTCTTCCGGGCGATCCCGCATTCCTATGGCACTTTGGGCTACGTGCTTCGGAGAAGGGAGAAGGGAGAGAGGGGGTTTCTTTTGAGCAAGCTGAAGAAGGAGCAACATTTGGGTTTTGTGTGTATATAGTGGACATACTCTAGGTTAGGACAATTGTCGTTCACACACAAGTCAGTGTCAAAAGTCAAACCATTCAATTTTCCACCCTGAATTTAACAAGGCAACAACGCCATCAAATCTGGGACCCTCCAGAATTTCTGCAGCTCCCCGAACCCACAAGAACTCAACAACTTAGCTTCATGTCTTTGAGGTGCAGAAGACGCAAGAATTACACAGAAAGACCTCCGCCCCGCAGAAGTCAGAAGAACCAACCTCTCGCTGCATTTGAACACCAGGGTCTCCCATTTCCACCCAATCTTTGGTCGGCGACCAAGGTGCTCAGTGCCACCTTAACGGCTGTGGCGGCCCAGCAGGAGCTGCAGGTCACCGTCTTGGAGTTTCCCAGCATCGAGCAGGTACGGTGGGGATGTGCTGGAGGGTTGGTCAAGAGTCCATGCGTCGCCCGAGGCCATTATCTGCCAATAGGTAAAGCCAAGAATCCAAGAATGCCCAGTTCTTGGCTCGCAACACCCAACCCCAAGATCTATTTTTTACACTTCACAACACCATCATCCACGCCAAGAAACCACTCCCACTCCAATCCTCCGGTCGGGGTCACAACCGACACTCCATTGCGAGGCAGTGGAGAAGATCTCAGACATGAGCAGGTCCAGGTCTGTGGACTTTGTGGATGGCCGCTGGGCAGATCGAGATCCCATTTAGATATCCTAAGACAGACAGAGACAGAGAGACAGAGAGATTGATTTAGAATGTTTTAGATACTCACCTGTGCGAGAACATGAGCCTTTTAGAGGACCCAATGTCATGGTCGATTGCTTACGAAAAGGGCCAGAATGAAACACCTTGAGAATTCGGCACTTCAGGTATCATCTACAGTCAGGATCGTGCATTGGCCATCTTTGCCTCCATGCAGCCTCCAGAAGCCCTTGAAGCGTTGGACACCGTGGTTATGCCAGACGACGGACGCTTTATCGATGTGCTGGGGCAGAAGCTCAGAGAAAGCGAAGAAGCTGGAAGAAGGAAGATAGCTTTCAAGATGTCGACCTTTGACTATTTGTGGCTCGCAGGTTTTAATCACTCCTCCTCCACCACATGTTTTTTTGGAGAACCAGCCTGAAACAGTTTTGGTCGAGTGGGGGGTCAGTTGGTAGTAGAGGATGAAGAAGTAGAGGGTAAGTTATCATTATCATCATTCTTGGTGTCTTAGGACCATGGCTCTGGGGAGTCTTGCCTGTGCTGACACTTGGCAAGTCCAGCCAGAATCCAAGGTACCGCTGGGACTGTGACATTTTTTGGTCCACACGACGAGTCGATGCGCTGGGTCAGCCAGAAGCATCTTGGACGCAGCACCTGTAGTGACCGGTAGTGGATGGATGGCGAAGACGATTCCCAAGTTCCACAAGAAACTTGTTCTTTTGGACCTGACTGTGGCAATTGAAGGCAAAGAAACTCAGTGACTGAGTTCAAAGGACTCAGTGACTGATTGATTTGGATCAAACAAATCACTAAAAGGATCGCGTTTTCATGATGAGGTTCGCCGCATTTTGGGACGTGGCTTCCTGCGATCCAAGATCCTGTGGGCGGTCGGCAGCCGCGTGCGAGACGCAAAGGAGTAGCAACGACACGAGTGTTGACCCGTTTCTCAGTATGAACGACGTGGCCAGCCTGTGACGGTTGTTGCGAAACTGCTGCTGTACTGTACTGCTTGTGTCCTTGATGCAATGTCAATTGTTGAGGTTACACTGTTTTCACCTTGGGCGGTCTAGTACCCTCAATGAATCTTATAGACACCAAGAGAACCTGCCAGCAATTTGGAAATGCATTTCTTTCACCAAGGACGTGATTCCTGTGAAATTCCGTGGAACAATCACCGCTGTCATCGGTTCAGGAGTGGGTTTCGCAGGCGATGTGGCAACTGCTTGGAGATCGAGGCGTGGAGTGGGGCTCGACGTGCTCGGCAAAGGTTTTTTTGGATGTCACTTCCTCGATGAGGGCTGATATTATATAAATATAATTAAATATATACACACATATAATTATATATATATA